TGAAGAAATTTTGAAGATGAAAATATTAATGTTGAAAAGCGTTGTCCCAATCATGACGTACAGGTAAACAAATAAATTAAAGTATATATTTTACGCATACAATATTTTTAATAATATTTAAAAAATATTACAGTGCCGACAAGTTTTATATGAGGGCTGCGATTTAACAAAAGAAGAAAGTGTACTTCTAATAATGAGTGTAGCCTTACGTCATCATCATTTCACTGATGCAGCATTACAATCTTTCATCCAACCATTGATTGTCATCTTCCTCGCACATCCACGGTTCGAAATATCTATTTTATAAATCTGTACCAAAGCAGACTTATCATGTATATTACTTTTGTCCACAATGTATACTATTTTACATGTTGACAATGACTGCATTACTGTAAAATGCGATAATTGTTCTGAGCAGTATAACCCATCACAGCTCAAAAAGATGGAAAATTTTTTATATATATACCGCTGAAAGAGCAACTAATCGAGTTGTTAATTCTAAGGTTTTTGCATTTCGACAGGAAAACGAAAGGAAGTGCGTTATCAATGGTAAAGTGTACCGTAAACTGAAAAGAAAAAATATAGGGGAAAATGACATTACTATTGAATGGAATACAGATGGCGTACAACTTTTTAATTCTTCCCTATCTTCTTTATGGCCAATTTTGGTAACAATTAATGAATTGCCTTATCGTATTCGAAAACAACAAATATTGCTAACTGTTTATGGTTCCAATCAAGTAAACCTCCAATGAATGTTTTTTCTCCAACCTTTTCTTGAGAACTGATAGATTTACATTTTAATGGCTTTGAAAGCACGACATTCATTCAACCAAGAACCATTCTTATAAAAGTCCATACATTGCTTGCTCCGGTTGATTCTGTTGCCAGATCAGCCATTCAGGGTATAAAGCAGTATAATGGAAAGTATGGGTGCCCATATTGTTATCATAAAGGAAAACAAATTTGTATAGAACAAAATAGGCGAAACGAGTATACTGTGGCAATATATGTACTTTACGTAAACAGAGCCATTACGTGCGTCATGCTGAAAAAATTCAAAAAAAAATAACCAGTTAAGGGCGTCAAATGGCCATCAATTGTTACAACTTATACCACTGTTTAACGTCATTTCATCATTTCCTCCGCCGGAATATTTGCACAGCCTGGCAGAAGGTGTAATTAAACAATTTTTGATGGCATGGTTTGATTCTAGCAATCGTGAAAAGATTGGTCTTACGTAAGCACGAAGTGCTCTTTGATAAAATTAATGAGCATGAACCTACCTCCAAAATAACTAGAACACCTCAATCAATAACACAACGGAGATTGTGGAAAGGTGCAGAATACAAAAATTTTGCTTTATATATTCTCTCATATGTTTAAAAGGGTTAATGCCAATAAATATGTACAGCATTGGTTGTTACTAGTTTACAGTATGCATGTTTTTCTAAGTACAACAATATCTCCTAATAATTTTATCATAGCTACGTTTTGCGCTCCAAAATTTGTACTTGATACTGAACAATTGTATGGAGCAATGTTTATGAACTACAATATCACTTGATGTTACATATTCCAAAAGCTGTAAAACAATTTGGCGCTTTGTGGGCATGGTCAACTTTTCCGTATGAAGATTTTAATCATACTATACAATCACTTTTTAACGGCACTCATATATTCCGGAACAAATCTGCAAATTTATTCTCGTATAAGATACGTAAAACAAAGTTCAGTTTTTGATCAGCCTAATTGTAGTAAAAAAGGAAAGGATCTTTTTGATTCTATTATAAAAGAATGTCGAATTAAAAGATGCATGGAATATGGAATTCTTTGCGAGCATTTGGTTCTGCAATTATCATAGAGTTATCATTAATAGAAAAAATAACTGTCGAACAATTTTTGGGAGAATCAGTTAAAACAAAGCACTAGCTTATCAGCGATTTATATACCAAAATATTCTCTATCATGGTTCCAATTGTACTCAACTAAAAAAAAGATGTAACAGTACAATTTTAACTACAGATAGATCGTTATTAGATATTCAATATCTATGTATAGCAGAAACATCAGCAGGCATAAAAAACAATTGTTAATTTGTAAGGTATTGCAAACACTGCGTGGTGATGAAATATGTAAAAATAGGAATATAACGTTAAATCTTTTCTCTTACGTTATAGAAAAACAGACATTATTAAATGTGTATTTCCTTCTGCGATTAGAAAGAAATGTATTAATATTCCTGTTTATTCCACAAACAATATTAATTATGATAATAATAAGCGATGCATAATACCTCTTGTAAATAATATAGAAACTGATTGAATTATATAAAATAAGAATTATGAAATAAGTTTATAATGAAAAATATAAATGTAAAAACATATGTAAAAGTAAAAATGTAAAAAATGTAAATTTAAAAATCTATACATGTAAAGCAATATTGTTTTAACCATTGTATTAAAAGTCTTTTTTCTTCCAATAAAAAATAACGTTGATAGTATGTAACTTATTGTACGTTATTCACTTTGTGACATTGTAAATTTTAACATTGTAAAAAATTTTAACATTGTAAAAAATTATTTATTGCAGAAAATATGGAACATTAATTTTTAAATATTTTAGACATTAAAAAACGTTCAATAAATCTTTCGTAAATAATTAAAATATAAAAGCAAAAACTTATTAAATATATAAATAATAATTTATACTATATATTTATAAAACATTATTTTTTTAATTAAATTTACATTATTCATATATAAAACACCTAATATTATTTGTATCTTTGCAAAAATATTTTGCTGCTTTATTTGAAAGAAATATTTAAACCTTAGCATAACAAAATTTTAAAGTTTTTATATTTGCAATAACATTTTCAATATTTCTGCTTATATTATATAATAGAATTAATCATGAGCGACATCCAGTAATATTTGCGTGTATTTGTACCCTCAGTAGTTATTACATATGCAGTGATCTTTCTAGTGATACCCAACAGGCGAGTAATATTCGTCTGTATTCCGTTGCTAGTAATTATTATAGAGGCAATAATATTCGTCTTGATAATTACAGAGCCATCAGTAATAATCACACAGCCGCGTGTAATAATCACACGGCCGGCAATAGTTCCTTTCGTAGGGAAGTGTTTTGTTCCAAATACTCATGCATAACCTATATCAGAAAAATTATCTTTAATTAATCTATTATCTGTACAATTAAAAAATTTCAAAAAAGATGAAAAAGAAAAATATTGCTTTTTAATAAGAAAAGATACATTTGGACACAATGTGATTAAACACATCACTATATATAAAAGAATGTCTAGAATAATCAGTATGATTTATGAATTAAAGTTAAAAATTATATATAAATTGATATAAATTATAAAAGTACTTCTAATTAGTAATACCTCATAATATTCCCATTTCCTCCTATTATTTCCTGATTTTTTATTATGATCAGTACAGATTTATATGTTCTTTTTAAACCTGGAATTTAGTAGTACCATTTACTTCCAGATATATGATATCCTGCATCTTTCTTTTCTTGAAATATTATTCCAACACTGTTTCGCGCACACTTAGGATTATTGAACATTTCTTCGTGTTCTTTATATAAAGTAATAAGTAACAGTGTTTCAGCACGAGTCCATATATGTTGATCTAAACAGAATAATGTTGTTTTCTTTGAAAAAATATTTATTTTAACTTTTACTCATATTTACTTTTACTACTACCTTTCGTATCTGAAGTTTCACTCATATCTAAATTACTTGCAGTGCTGCAATTAGTTGTGTCATCTGTAAACATGTATATCTTTTATACATCAGACAATCTTATGAATGCGATATCACAAATGGAACATTATCATTGTTATTAAATTAAGTATTAAAATAAACCTGTTTCTGAATCTATAATATCTTTTATTTCTCCAGCTGCATATTTTTTCGCTTGTTGCAATAGAGAGTATGCAAATATATGATCTGTAAAAAATTACAAATAATTATAATTGCATATACATTATAATTAATAATAAGTTTGAACACTTATATTCTGAATCAAATTTTGATCAAAATATAGGTTATTGTAGGCGAATTATATTCTAAAAACGATATTTCATTTATAGACACGCGTGACGGTCGAATTTTACGTTTTCCTCCTCCCCCCCCTCTGCTGCCCTTTGCCGCTTGGCGCGCTGCGTAAGAAGAAGGGAGAAGTTTAAGAAGGTCAGTTCCCCGCGGAAAGGGAGAAGCTGTTGGGACAGATATACGGCAGTGAGCCGTCGTGCGTGTCCTATCGATACCGTGTTAACGCTAATAAAGCTCCTTGTTTAAGATCCGCTAGAGCCTTATTAGAATTACTTAAAGACGGTTAAACGGCCCTGACAATCATCTAAACGCTAGCCTACAAAACCACCTACAACTTCCGAAGTTGGAATCAAAGAAGAAGTTAGCGAAGGATCTGTGGAGGTTAATACACGGGACTTTGAAAGTAACGACCAAGTGTTGTGTGTCGAATGCAGAGAAAACCGTGTCTTGGTGTTACTCGTGCAAAAAGACAGAATATTCCGCGCTGTGTGCCACGAATATTTTGATGGTTATTCGCGCTGTGTGCCGCGAATCTTTGCTCGTGCTAAAAGACAGAATATTCCGCGCTGTGTGCCACGAAATATTTGACGGTTATTCGCGCTGTGTGCCGCGAATCTTTGCTGCGTGCTAAAAGAGCCGAATATTCCGCGCGCGTGTGCCACGAATATTTTGACGGTAATTCGCGCTGTGTGCCGCGAATCTTTGCTGCGTGCTAATTGTTCCGCCGCGTACGAGAGAAAGCGAGTCCACGTATCGCGCGCGGTGAATCGACGCGTAACGCGATATCCCTGTGAGATAGAATATTCCGCGCTGTGTGTCGCGAATATTTTGACGGTAATTCGCGCTGTGTACCGCGAATCTTGCTGTGTGCTAATTGTGCCGACGTGTGTCGCGAACATTTAGACTGAGGTTAAACATTTATTAACACGTCGCTGTGTGCTAGGACGTATAGAAAAGGGAGTGCAGTGTGTCCTAACAATGGCGAGACCGCCGAGTGCGTATACGCTCGCCGAAATTAAGGACATTCTCCGCGAGAAGAAATTGCCGGCGACCGGTAACAAAGCTGACCTGATAGATCGATTGACTGCCAATGACCCGGAGATATGGACCACACTGGATGAACAAGGTCACGGCAGAGCCGCGGTGTCGATCAGCCGATTGACGCGGGCCATGAATCGAGGGATGCCGTCCGCGGGCAAGGACAATGAAAGCCAAGTAAGTAACGACGCATCCGTTGAAGGTCCTTTGACTGAGAATGACTTGATTCGACGAGAAAATGAACTACTTAGAAGAGAACGAGCTCTTCTTCAACGTGAATTAGATATCGTTAGACGAGAGAACATCGAAGATCATGGAGCACCGCAGATGAATGATGGCGGAAGAAGACGTAATGGTCCACCGATGAGCGAAAGTGTAAGGGCTATTCGCGACTTGTTGAGCGAATTCGACGGCAGTGGGGTACGTTCTGGAAATGGGAACAGCAGGTACAATTGCTGCGAGTGTCGTACGCCTTGGATGATGCGGCGACAAGAATTTTAATAAGCTCCAAATTAAAAGGACGTGCATCCGAGTGGTTTCACTCCAAACCACATCATCTTACCCTTGGTATAGAAAATCTATTGGCGGCCATGAAGGGAATGTTCGACCTTCGTCAATCAAGATTGTCCCTACGCAAGAAGCTCGAAGAGAGAGCATGGCGGACGGACGAATCATTCACGAGTTACTTCCATGATAAATAATCCTCGCTAATAGGGTACCGATAGTAGATGACGAAGTTGTCGATTATGTCATCGAGGGTATACCTGATCGCAATCTCAGAGATCAAGCACGTATTATGCAGTTCGAGTCTCAGTCGGATTTATTGGAGGCATTTAAAGGATTGACCTACACCCGAAGAAGTTCCTGATCGCGAATGGAAGAAACCTATTGATCAAGGAAAATCCAAAGGATGGGAAATTGTCGACAAGGAGAGTTCAGCGTTTAAAGGAAATCCAGCATCGTCGAGTGCAGATTTGGCACCACGCCGAAAGATAATTAAATGTTATAACTGCCAGGGAGTTGGACATCTGGCATCCGCATGTTCACACCCGAAGAAAGTTAAGGGAGGCTGTCATCGATGTGGTTCAGCCAGCCACTTGAAAAAAGACTGTCCCGAGAAAGAGTCGAACCCGAGTCGACGAACGTTGTGAACTTGATCGAACCGATATCCGTTAGCGATCCGTATTGTGTACAGTTAAAGTTTTCGGTGTCCTTTGAAGGGATATAGATCGTGAATATACAGTAGACGCGATAGTTGATCCCGGCTCCCCAGTGAGCCTCATAAAAACTGAGTATGTTCCGACGAGTTTGCGCGAACCGCTACCTCCTAACGGCGATTGTTTTCTGTGGAGTAAATAAATCCCCTGTTCGCGTAGTAGGCACCTTTTCGAAATTAGTCGAAATCGAAAGAATTAATATTCAGCTACGTTTTCTGGTAGTACCGAACGAAACAATGTCGTGTGCGGCATTACTTGGTCGCGATTTCTGTCGAGATCCGTTATAAAAATCGAACTAGGTAAAACGGTAAAGATTACTAGGAGAAACGAGTCGACAAGCGAGAACAATTTTGATACCGAGATTATGCAAATAGAATATCTCAAAAATCCTGTAAAAGTTGGAGAAGAATTGAATATTAATCCCGGTGTCGAATCGCATGTAGTCGAAAGCGTTCGAAGATTGTATACAACAAGAATACGTTGATAAATGGGATTCAGATGTGAGCGAACCGGAACCGAGATGAAAATTTTATTAAAAAATGAAAAGCCGATTACCTTCCGGCCTAGGCGTTTAACGTTTCCTCAGGGGCACTGCGGACTCATCCCTGCAGTGTACGGGTGTCGCAATCCCGAGGTACCCGAGCTGGAGTGTGTGGTGATGGATGAACGGGGTGTGATGGGCGTGCAGGCCCTAAAAAGGACTTGTCCACTGCACTAGGTGAAGGAAAACACCGAAGATAACACCCGGGGGGGGCCCCGTTAGCTGAGTAAGGCAACCTCCTAAGGGGAAGGAAAACCCCCGACAGAAAAAACCACTTTTTCTTTTTCAGATGGGATGACATCGAAGAAAAGAGACGACTTCCCAGGGTCGGATACTGGGAACCGGCGTGGGGGGGGTGTAGGCCTGGCTCCCCTCATGTCGTCATCACACGACAGGTCGTCTGTGGCTTTGCCGGCTGGGGCTACAGATAAGGAAGCGACAGTGCCGAAGGACACTAGGAGGATCCGTAGGGCTCATGAGGGCCTTATGGTTCGGGACGATGGAATCGATCCCAAGTATGTCAGGAGACTACTTGCACGGGTCGATTCCAGGTGTCATGTGTTGGAGGAGTACCGTGTGCTCCTCGAACACAGCGAGAAGCACACCGTTAAGTGTTGGTGTTCGCGGGTACGCTGGGACTTTGTCCAAAAGTGTCCCGCGTGCGGAACCGTGGATTCTCCGTCTCCGGTCATCGGGAGTGAGGAATGCTCGGACGAGCCTGAGGACAGCGGTGAGAGACCGTTCCCGTCTCCGGAGAAGATGCGTGGGGCAAGCGACGACGAGGAAGCTGGGGGAGACCTCACCTTCGTGTCGCTCCCTTCGCCGTTTTCGGAGGACGAGGCAGAGGAGAGGGATCCGACGTGGAGGGTCCATGACGTAAGGATCCTCACAGGCAGAAAGCAGTACCCTCCTAAGGAGAGTGCTGCTGATCAAGCAGGTAAGCGCGGCGCGCGCGGTAGGGGTCGCCCTAAGACTACGGGCGACTATGCTGGTCTCGCGGAAGCCAAAGAACGGCTGAACGAGGCTACGCGTAGGGAGCTCCTCCTTGCGGATCTGCGGAGGGTCTTGGATCCATCTTTGGATCCAGTGCTCACTGCGGTCGGGCGAGAGAATGCGCCTTCGGACGAGGCATTCAGGACGGGGCTCAGGGGTAAGACCGCTCCTGAGCTGGAGAAGCTTGCGGGGGTCTTCACTGCCCAAGTGGAGAGGTTGGCCGGGGTCCATGGCATTGAGGATCTCTTTGCCAGGGAGCTTCGGACTTCCTCGATGAAGCTGGGTGGTGTGCTCGAGGAGTTGGCGGTAAGGGCCTCTACAGATGCCGACCCTGGTATGGACGCGCTTCGTAGCGCAAACCAGGGTCTGAGGACCAGGATCTCGGCTCTTGAGAGGCAACTTGAGAGCACGAGACAAGAACTGGCTTCTCTTCGGGCTGTATTGCCCGAAGTGGAGGCCCGATACTTCCCGGATACCGGGAAGAAGAGGAAGAGGACGCGGCGGGACCGTCCCTCTCCGGACCAGGCTGGCGGATCCCCATTGCTGGCTGCTGACGAGCAGCACGATGATTGTCCGGTTACGGTGGCGGCGGTGTCGTCCCTTATTGATCGTCGTATTAACGACTTGAGGGGCGACATTGCGTCAATTGTCGTGGCCTCGTTGAGGTCAGAGCTTGCGGGGCGGGCTGGGCCCGCTCCCTTGGAGCGACGCCCATGCGTGCGCCCGTGCAGCGAGGTGTTGGTGGTGCGGTTGCTCCGATACGGTTTCCCGCTCCTGGGGGCTCTGCTGCTTCCGCTTCTGCGGAGGTTTCGGCGGATGCCTCCGGGCGTGGGGCTGTGGCTGGTGGTGGCGGTCGTCGGCGTCGTCGTCGTCGTTCAGGGCCTGCTTCAGGTGGTGGTGCGGCGCACACTCCGGCTCGCGGAGGGAGGAAGAAACGTGTGCCTCCCTCTCTCCCTTTGTCGTCGGTTGTTTCGCTGACGGTTGGGTCGAGGGAGGAGGATCGCGAGAAGACCTACGCCTCGGTTCTTCGTGAAGCGAGGCAGCGGGTGGAGTTGCCCAATTGGGCATTCACTCGATGCGTCTTCGC